GGGGGGGGGGTAATGGTGATGGAAGACTTGACATAGGGTGGTGAATACACAATACAATATATAGATGATGTATTATAGAACTGAACACCTGAAACCTATAATTTTATTAACCAGTCACCCCAATAAGTTCAATAGAAGAAAGAAAACTGTGGACCAAATCTTGCCTCAGATCATCCAGCTTTTTATTAACACTGCCTAGATGTGGTAAATAACTGGCTTCAATACAGCTCAAGTTCAAACTAAGAAACAAGGAGAAGACATGACCTTAAATCTAGAAATTAGGAGCAAGTTAACTAATACTTCGTAAAAAGGTGAGACCTGGTACTTGGTGGATAGGAAATTCATGGTAGATCAAAAGCTTAAAATGCAGCCCCTGCCAGGTAGCTTAGTTGGTTAGAGCAGTGTGCTGATACGTGAAGGTCAGGGGTTCCATCCCCAATAAGGTTGCACATAAGAATTAACCAATGAATGCATAAATAAATGGAACAATAAATCAATGTTTCTCTCTCCCTTTCGCTCTTCACAATTAATCAATAAATTTGCCATAATTAAGAAAATTTTTTGGGTTGTTTATAACTTCAAAGTTAAGAGTACTAGATTTGAGCCAGAGTTCTATTATGGGGAGTCACTTGGCTTTGGGGAGTGACTTAGGCAAGTCACTTGGCTTTGCTGAATGTTCATCTTCTCACCTGTCAGATGGGGGCATTAGTACCTATGCTATCCTCCTAACAGGATTGATGGATCAAACAATAGCAGATGTACTATGCAAACTGTCAAGACACAGCCAACACATTCTCAATTATATTTCCATTTAACAACCCTGTGAGGTAAGTAGAAACTGAGGCCCAGAGAGTGGCTTGTCCCAGGTCAAACATCTGGCAAGTGGCAGGATTCCCAACACCAAGTTCAATGCTTTTATACAAATATAAGTAATTACTTAAAGGGTAATTAGATTAATACTCCTAAAGACGAATATTAGATACAAGGGGTACGGATTCTTTTGCATATACATGCACACAAAACTTAGTAATCCTGAGACACTAGCTTCTGCTCACACTTGGCTTTCTTTCTGCAAATGCACGTACCTATACTGGAAGACCGCGTGCTGCTTTGAACAAGAGGGATGATCGATTGGAATGTCTGCAATACGGCGGTGTCGCCCCAGGAGGTAAGCGCTCTGTCGATGGATGTACATGATTGGAAGCACCTCATCATTTTTAAATGGGTAGAGACGCCACCGTTTTTTAGGGATACGTGCTTCGGGGGGCTCGCTATATTTAATGACTACACCTCGGAAGGTGTTCGTGTCCTCAAGAAGTGCCCCAGAAAGTTCAAAGCTTGGCTTTTCCTTGACGGGCACCTCTTTGTTTTTGTTGCTGCCACCAGGTGGAGGAACCAAGTCCTGAGACTCAGTACCGCTGGTACTGACTTCATTCTTTTGGCGATGCTCCCGCCTCCGGGCATTATAGAACTCCCGCTCTGCTTCCTGAGCCGGCAGGTTCTGAAGGTCTCGATCACGTCCCTGAGCCGGCCCACTCCCAGGTCTCTCATTAGAGGTTCTCCTCTGGTGGGAGTGGCCCCTGTGCCTGCCTCGGTCACTATTCCTAGCTCGCCTGTGCTCCTGTTCTGATGCTTCCCGGTGCTGCCGATCTTCCCGTTCTCTCCGGGGTGGATGATCTTCACGCTCCTGAAATTTGAGCAGACTCAGTAGATTCAAGGCAGTCCAAAATCTATGAACAAGCTGCATTCAAAAAGTCATTTGTGATTTGGACTTTGGCATTCAAGAGCAAAATGCTGCCCAGCCAGCCTGGCTCAGTGGTTGAGCTCCGGCTATGAACTATAAGGTCATGGTTCAATTCCCAGTCAGGGCATATATGCCCAGGTTGCAGACTCAATCCCCAGCCAATCAATGATTCTCATCATTGATGTTTCTATCTCCCTTCCTCTCTGAAATCAATAAAAAGAAAAAGATACACAAATGACCGATAAGCATATGAAACGATGTTCAACATCACTAACCATCAGGGAAATGCCAATCAAAACCACATATATATATATATTTTTTTTTTTTTAAAGCAAAATGCCCCACAGAAATAAGGTTATCAGTGGTTATGTTTCCATGCAAGGCCACACTGTGTATCCCATGCTGTTGCCCAATTATAGCTCTAACAGTGTCAGCCCATGTTCAGAGCTCTAGAAACAGGAGTGCCTGCAGGCAAACTTAAAAGGGATCATATACAGAAAATAGAACAGAGAGAGCTAACTAGTCACAAACAGGATCAATGTGTAAAGAAAAAGCTAGCTTTCTCCTATGCCAACAGTTTAAAAATGTCTCATTTCAACAGTAACAAAAATTACTCAATACCCAGGAATACACTTAAGAAACATGTAAGATCTGCCCGGGATCAATTGGTTGAAGCGGCATCCCCTGCACCGGAAGATCCTGTTTGATTCCCAGTCAGGGCATATTTTTATGCCTTGACTGTATAGAGGTCACCATTGCAAGAAACAAGGTAAAGAGTATACGCCTATGTTAGCTTTACAACTACAGGCATATACACTTTTTCATTCAACAAAAAAGCAGGTAAAAAAAGTCACCCAGTTTTGAGAAAATCCCATGGCAGATGCAGGTGAACACATGCACAAGACTTTAGCGATGGTGGTAACGGGCTCTAGATTCAGACCCAGCACCAGAACATCTCAATCCACGCACCTGCTTCACTTTGACGGTCGAGTGGTGAGGACTTCGGCTTCTGTTACTCCGAGGAGACTTGCTTCTTCTCCCTGAGGACTTTTTCTTTTTGGCTGGGGACCTGTTAAGACAATGGCACACAAAGGATTTTATCTCCATTTCCCTCCCCCATGTAAATTACCTTCAAATATCAGGTTTGTGAAGGTCTCTGCTTTTCACACTACAGGAGTCAGGAGCTTCACCTTCCTAGCCCACAGTCTCCCCTGAGTTCCAGACCCACAGACATAACTGCCTACCAAACCTTCTCACACTTACATAACTCTTGATTCCCGACCCCTCAAAACGTCTCCTCTCTCAGTCTTTGCCATGGCAGTGGCACCACCATCCACCCTGCTCAAGCCAAAAACCTAGAAGTCATCCTTGACCCCTTTTCCCCTCACCAACAGCGTCCACACCCCTCCCCCACAGTCACATTCAACCCAGCAGCAAGTCCTCTCCCGTCTCCTCCCTCTCCTACCTCATTCCAACCACTCTCCTTAATCACCACACTGGATTTTTTTCTATTCCTAAAACAATCACAATTGTCCGGGCCAGGTAGCTCAGGTGGTTAGCGTGTCATCCAAATACACCAAGTCTGCAGGTCCCATCCCAGCCAGGACACATACAAAAGTCAACCACTGTATGCATAAATAAGTGGAACAAAAATCGATGTTTCTCCCTCTCTCTCCCTTCCTCCCTCTCTAAACCAATCAATAAAAATAAATAAGCCCTAACGGGCTTGGCTCAGTGGATAGAGTGTCAGCCTGTGGACTGAAGGGTCCCAGGTAGGATTCCAAACAAGGGCATGTACCTTGGTTGCAGGCACATCCCCAGTGGGGGGTGTGCAGGAGGCAGCTGATCCGAATCATCGATGTTTCTGTCCCTCTCCCTTCCTCTCTGTAAAAAGATCAGTAAAATATGTTTAAATAAATAAATAAACAAAAAATAAATAGGACAATCACAACTGACTCCATTACAGGTTCTTTGCACACAGTTTCCCCTGCCTGGGTCCTTACAAGGCTGGATTAGTCTTATCATTCAGGTCTCAGCTCAAATGGCACCTTTTCAAAGCAGCCTTCTCCCACTTCCCTCCAATCTCTGTCAGGTTAAATGTTTTAACCTATTCGTAATACGTTACTAACAAACTATTTTCTTTTTTTGCTAGTTATTTTGTCTCAGGGTCAGAGGACATCAATTCAAGGGGGTAATGTCCATCTATCTTTCATTTTATTTTATTTTTGAGAGAGAGGGGGAGGAAGAGGAGAGAGACCTCGATTTGTCGTTCCACGTACTTATACAATCCACCGGTTGGTTCTTGCTTGTGCCCTGACCCGGGACCCAGCGGAACCACACGAGGCTCTCACCAACCGAGCCATCCGGCCCCCCGTTCAGCCCCGGTACCCGGGCAATCTTCAGCACATGACAGGTACTCAGTAAAACTATGTGGAACGAATAAATGAACGCGCCTAGCAAGAGACAACCCTGGGCGCTCCGAGTGGAAACCTTTGGGGGCAGATCATTAAAAAGACACCGCCCACACTCCACTCGCAGGCAGATGGGGGAAACCTTTCAACTTAAAATGATCCTTGCTGGCCGCTAAGTGCTGGGCACACAGACACGAAGAGGTGGGGTCCTGTCCACTAGGCCCTTCACGCGCAGCGACAACGCTAGTGACAAATACACAGTAACACCAGCACTGCCGGTACTTCCCCCGCCGGAGGGTTACGGCCCCGCCGCTGCGCTC